ACCTTCTCGATACTGAGAATCCTACTGCTTATGTGCAGGTCAAACAGTCTCCCCAACGTTTTCAGTTGAATTTTGCATCAGTTTAAAAAAAGCTATGGACCTTCTCCAATTTTCCATGCAAAAGTTGTGGATACTAAAATGCCTTGTTACATATACATATATGTATGTACATATGTATATACACATCCATATACATATGTATGTATGCTTGAGAATGAACGCACATACGTAGAGTTAGCTGTGTCCTAACATAGCCTAGCGCTTCAGGCTTCCTCCTTGAACACATTAACCTCCTTCTTTGCGTTTATGATACACATAAAGCGTAATCATCTATTAGAAAGCGTGCTTTTGGTTGTTTGCTATTGTTGTCAGATTTTTTGCCTTTTTGTTATGCTTGTTTTGTTTTAATTTTTTTTTCTTCTTGCTTAGGGTGTATGTCCTGATCTTTGTTTTATTTTTATTTATCCCGCAACTTGTGGCATATTACTGTTGGAATGTGTAAAAAAAAGCGCAACGTTGAGACTTTTCAGCTTTGCTTTGGTTGATATGCTCCCTTTTGGAGTATTGCTGCAGCAACATTTCATTTGTTGCAAGAAAGAAGAAATAAAAACATTTTGAAGTGGAAGAAAACATACTCAGAACAGAACAATGAAAAATAAGAGAACTTACTAAAACTACTAAAAAAAAAGTAAGGAAAGTACAAATTCCGGCCAATACTCCGGTTACTTACTGCCGGAAATATACAGGACACTTACAACAAACACACACCCACATCAGAAAATTGTAAATTCAAACACACCAATACAAATGTTTGCCCAAACCAGCAAGCATAAAGTTCAACGTCCGCTCTACTACTGTATGTTAACAGGTACATATGTATGTGTGCATGTATATGTACGTGTTCATGTACCGCTTCACCGCCGAAGTGACTCACTGAACTGAACTGTGTGAAGAGCTGCAAGGTGATAAGAGGTGATAGGTAGTGTACTGTCAGCGTCGTAATGGTACATATTAGTTTTTGTTGTTGTTATTATAACTAAAGTATAACAAGCATAGTTTCGAGTGTTGTTGTGAGCGTGATTGTCTGTGCCTACATAGGCTATGATGCTTCAAGTTGCTGCCGGCAAAATAGGAATTCCGCAAAAGCGCATCCACGTCGGAGCGTTTGATAGGAGATGTGGCATGCCGAGGTGAGACGAGGCGTATCTGTGATGAATTTGTCAATTTGCACAACTGTATGTGTGTCAATATTTATCTGTGCCCAAGCAGTGCATGTTGTGTAACGTGAAAGTATAAGAGAGGAATATGCATCAGAGCTCAAAGGCAAGCGAATGAAAAGTTATTAAAAGTTTGAAGTGAAATATATCGATTATGTCGAATGAAAGAGATGAGCAAACATTTTAAATAATAGTATTGAATGAAAGGAGAACAAAGTTATTAAAGGATGTAGAAAAATAATTCACTGGGGTGTAAATTTTTTATTTCGATGTTTATCATGCCCAGGTATTCATTTCATAATTCGGATGTTTCTTTGTTTACTTATAACGCGAGAGAAGCTTTTCAAAGATCTGTTGCGCTATCGCCTTGGTAAAATTTTAAGTCGAAAGCCGTTGATGGTAATTGCGTACGATTTAGGAGTATTTTCCTGGACAATTCAATTAAATAAAAAATACACACAACCGTTTAAATAATTTTTTTTTCTTTCAAAGATTTCTCAACAATTTATATTGAGCTCGAGGCCGTTTTTTAAATGAAAATTTATTGTGGAAAAGCAACAATAATTTGAAAAAATGGTAGAAGTGATAAATTGTTGAATATAATTGTTATAAGGCCAAAAAAATAACAAAAACAAATAACTTCAAAGTTTTCTTTAAAAATACATTGGCCATGAAAAACAGCTCCTCATAAAAATACAATATTTTTTCGAAGTTTTGTTGATGGGAATCCCTTTCCATGCTCCTGAATTACACAGCCACCATATTAAAACTAAAAATCAAAAAATTTAATTTTTACTGATCGATTTCATGAATTCTGGCTCATATACACGAAGAAAGTAATATATATGTATGTGCATAAGGAATACTGTGTAAAAATCTTAAACGCCAATACTTAATTACTTTTAAACAATATGACGTTTCAGTTAAGACGTGCGAGTAAACGTGTTAGTTGACTGCGTATGGTGCTACGAGGCGTATACGTTACATTCGCAACTACGGGTATATGAGCACGAGTGGATATATTTGTTAACTTTCATACCGACGTTTGTAAGTACCAGAAAAAGAAGAGATATTCCCATGAAAATGTATACTGATATATGATAAGAACATCGAGCTGAGCCGATTTATGTCCGATGTCCGTTTGTCCGTCTGTTTGTATGCAATCTTGTCTATCAGTTTTCGAGATATCTGACTTAAATTTGGTAAGTTATTGTAGTCTTATAATGTAATAATGATTTGTCGGAAACGGAAAAATAGGAACACTATAAGATATAGCTCCCATTCAACTTACTGTTCAGATATGAGATTTTTCGTAATAACTCCTACATTTATGCAGCTAGGCACATGAAATCTCACCGTATTTTCACCCATTATCAAACGAATACTTACAGTCAAAATGGCATAGATCGGGTCACTATAACCTATTGCCTCCATATAACAGATTGTTCAAATTGAAAGTGGCATAAGTCGACTTTTGGAAAAAATGAGTTATTATCAATTTTAGTGAGGCAAAGATATTCCCTTTTTATATCCGTAATCATACCTTCAATGAAGGCCTATTTCTTGATAAAGTAATCAACAAAAGTGTAGCTATAAAATGTTATCGCAAAGATGTTTTTTTTTTTAAGTGAAATTAGTCCATTCATATTAACGTGGTAGGTAAATTTTAAAGTTTTGAAATATTACAGTTATGCGACCGAACACGTAAATTTTATTTTCACCGTTTTCAGAGAAGCCGTACCACGTCAAAATTTTGCGGTATTTAGAGGTGAAATTTAAGAGCTCTTTAAGTGATTTTTCGTGTTTTATAACACTATAAAAAAAACGACGAGGCACTAAACTAAACTTTGCGTCGTTGATTCCGGATCTGTATACAGTTTTCTACATCGCGTAATTTTCCAAAAAAAAAGATTAAAAGGAATTAACTTTAACAGGCAAACATTTTAAAAATAAACTAATTTTGTAAAGCTATTTCATTTGGTCTTTTGCAAAAAAACCAAGGGTGAACAAAATGAGCAAAGGGTAAAATGAAAATGAGCAATGATTTTTCGTTTGAAATTTGAGTGTGAAAGAATGTTACTCATACGCCATGTAAGAGTATGCGAGTTATGAGCAAGTCAGTGTTGCCAGACTCTTTTTTCAAAAAACTCCTTAAAAAACAGAATTTTCGACCAATAAATTGTAACCTTCAAACACGAAGAGTTTTTAAAATATTATTAAAAGAGCGGTTCCACCTAATCACGTATATCTTACGAACCGATTAAATAGTCATAATGGATACGAGTTACGGCAGATGAAAGAAAATAAAATTCTCCATAAACTGAGAAATTAATTAATCATTCCAGATTTTTTGTTGTTTTTGATGAAAAAATTCAAACTTTAACGTGGAATAAAATTTTAATTTAAAAAACTAAAAACTCGCTTTTATAATTCCAATTAGTACTGTCATCAGGAATATAACTTGAGAATGGAAATCCGTGCATCTTTTAGGCGCATCAATATGACATAGCTACATTCCATGCTAATACAAGCGAGGTAAAAACTTAAAAAAATAACAGTTTCTGTGCAAATGTTTTGCACTTGTGTTAAAGCTTGTTCCTTTAGAAAAAAAATTAAGCTACCAACGAAGACAATCGATGGATAAATAAGAAAGTAGTGATAGGTTAAATGAAAATGCGCAATAATTTTTTTATGAAATAACTATAAGCAGAACAGTGTTACTCATACGTCCCGTACAGCTGAGTAGGTAGAGTGTTTGCATCGAAAGCAAGAGGTGTCAGAAATGAGTAGGGCTATTCGCGATTCGGTGCATAAGAGCTGACAAATTTATGCAATTGCAGAAATATGCCATGGATTGTGAGCGACCTTTATTAAACTGTCATGGTAAAGCTTTTGCAAAACAATTTTTGTGCATCAGCTTTGGTTTTCTTTATGAATGCAATGCATAGCATTTTTATGCTATGGATTTTCGGTATTGCAAATTTGCCAAGCCATGACAAATGCAAATGCGTGTATTTTGTTTGTGTATTGCAAATAATTTGCAATACAAATTTGCAATGCAATGATGCTAGGCCATTTGCACCGGATCGCGAATAGCCCTATTAACTAATTTATCAGAAACTATCAGGGCTATCGAAAAGTGATGTATAAAAGGTTTTTGGAGAATTTTATTAGCTTTCGTTTTCTGTGTCTCGTATTACGATTATTCAATTGGTTCGTAAGATATATGTGATTAAGTGAAACCACTCTTTTTTTAAGCTGAACAACGGTAAATTGAAAATATGTCAAGTAAGTGAAGTAAGATTTGGAAAATTCTATAAGGCGGATAATTAAAAAAAAATTAAAATATTTTTATGAAACTGTCCATCGGGTTTTCTGGGGTAGCTAATTACGAATCTGATGTCCGATTTTTTTTTAGCAAATTGATACTTGCACTTTGCTTTTGGTTTTTTTTTTAATTAAATGCGTACTCGAAAATTTCTACAAATTCTGAGTAAAAAAATTAAAGTTTTGATGAAATTTTTTGAATTTTTGAGAGATTTATATAAAGTGTGAAAATTTGATTTATATGGTTTATGTTATAGAATAAATAACTAATAATATTAATAAATAAATATATAACTAAGTATGCAAAAAATTATTCATGAAAACAATTGTGAATATTATATGAGTACAAGATGTACACTTTCATTTGTCGCCTAGTGTATGTAAGGCAGCAAAACTGAGTGTTTTTTATTATTAAACTAAATTAATAAAATATTATTACATTTTTATTCTTTTCAGCTCATCTGCGCCAATCTACAAGGCAGTTTACATCAAACTCTTTTACCAAAAATCTAAAGTAAAAATATTTAAATCCAGAAAACTACCCACCCAAAATTTTTGTATTAACCAAATATAAAAAAAAACGTAAAAATTACAATAAAGCCTAAAACGGTAGAAATATTATAGTTACCTTTAGCTGTGTCACATAATATCCCCAATTTTTACCAGCAGTAGTACTTTTTACTCTCGCTACATACAAAATTTACAAATTGACATACATACATATGTAGTAGAACATCAGTCCTTCGAATTTGGCCGCCCCACAATTGACAGTTGCACTTCACCCTTCTTTTACCACCAACATAATTCGTGTCTACTTGCTCGTAGTACCAATTTACAAAACCAGCGACATTGGAGCTGAGCTGAGTCTACAAAATACGTTCTACTTGACTGCCCGACTGCACGTTTGTCGGCAATTTCCGCAAATTTTGTCAAAACCTGTCAATTTTGCTTAATATTCTGCCAACCTGAGTGCGAAGGGGAAAAAGAACATTTCACCAATGTTATGTTGTGGATTTTGTTGCGGCAATATGTCGAAACGAGACTACAAGGTGGCCACAACGGATGGCATCGAACTGGAGCCATTGGGTGGCGAAAAAATCGACAAGGACAAGGAAAAAGATAAAGAAAAGCAAACAAATGGGGTAACTTTCGGTAAGTAAACTTAAATACATACATACAAATATTATTGAAAAAATAGTAAATTTATGAGTTTCGATAAAAGTCGATGGACTGGCTGAAATGTCAATCCGAAAACTGAATAAAGTTCAGACATAGGTTTAGTAGATTAAATTGTTCAAAAGTGGAAAGACTGTGTGGAAGCAAAAGTGGGTTTAATTGATAATTCAATGACGGCTTATACAAACATATGTACAGTCACTCAATAAAGTTTAGGTACAGACATTTTTTTTTTGCAATACGGGCAACTCTTTATTAAATATTTTATTTTTCGCTAATTAAAAAAAATAATATATGGTTAACTACAACAACAACCCCACAAATCAGAGTTCCAAACCTTCTGCAAAATCAAAGAAAATTCTGCAAAATTTTCATTCAAATATTGCACTTTTTGTACACTCTTTGGAAAAGGGCGGAGTACTCAGTAAAGTGCAAGTCTGAGGAAACTAGGACTTACCACTGATTTTTGGCATTTTTTGTGTTAAAGGTGTCGCTATTTTTTTCCATAAATAAAAATTGTCGAACATTACTTTATGTTGAGAAAATGAACGACAGCTTCAACAAAAAAAAAAAAATCCAAAAACCAATGGAAAGTCACAACTTCCACATACTTGCACTTCAGCTCGTGATTTTGAGAAAAACGCGTAAAAAAATTGCGTTTTTTGCAATATTTGAGAAGCTGATAGAACCTTCCACTTAGGCTTAAGTAAAGCTAAAACTCTCGACTACCATCCCTGTAAATACCATCCTTGAAAATTTACCTGATGGTCACTTATAGTCATTAATCAAACAGCGAAAACTGATTTTTGGCCAATTTTTCTTTTTTTAATAGCACAATTTTACAGTATTAGCCAGGAAAAAGGCCGAAAATGGATCCGTAAAAAGAAAAAAGTGGATGAAATGTGGATTTTTGTCCGTTTATCGATTTCATTTTCGGATATTTTGCGGTTCCATTTTCCCACTAAGGCGTGCAGCAGAAAATAAAATAGATTTGCAGTGAATTTAAAAATGCTACATACAAACCAATTAGATTTAAAAAAAAAAACGGTTTATTCGATATTTGAACAATGAAGATTAAAAGAAAACAGCATAAAGATTATTAACTTGTGTTAATTTTTAGAAAATAGGACAAAAACATTTCAACCCCCAAAGGCTTTAAACTAGCCTCAATAAAAGACATTTACTAAAAAGTAGCCAACCCATTTAACAAGACTCCATTAATTCGGTATTATCTTAATATCAACTCGCTTCGCTCTTGTCTTAGTGCGTATTGTAGCAAGAATTCCAGTTAATCGCCAGAAGAATTTAAATTTATTTTATAGTAGACAAGTCACATCCAGCAGCTTGTTGAATGAGACCAAAGTGTAAAACAAAATTAGTGAACGAATAACCAGTGCTAAGACGACACATTTGTGTGTACATATGTATTTATGTACGTACTTACATACATACCTACGCGTACCCAAAAATAATATGGCAACGACAATTGCTTAATTGCACTCGTGTAATTTCTCGCTTAACTTATTTTCAGCCATTTTCCCTGGAGCTGATGCGTAATTCAACAGTCAAAGCGACAAAGTGGTATTGTGCATGCACACTAATAAACGATGTCTTTATATACTGCATTCATTGCCCAAGTATATTATGCAAAATAAAATGCTGCCATGCCACGATGCCGAAACAAGTATTGCTCATATCCAGAAGTACGGCTCAGTGAATTACTGGGTGGCTAAAAGAAGCTGTTTTGGTATGCAGCGCACCTTCCCGCTTAAACGCTCTGAAACGATTCCTTTCACTAGTTTATTGTTGCTGCATTTGTTTTTGTTGTGGATTTATTCATCAACACATTCAGCATTTTCTTGCAATTTTTAATTATGACAACAAAAGCGTCAAGCCGCAAATAATAATAACAAAAAACACGAAAAGCGTCGACATCAGCTGCGCTCGATGAAAGAAAGGTTTCATACAGTCTCAGTAGAATTAAGGCGCAGCATTTGAGTTGTCGTACGTAGCATTAGGGTGAGCCGTAGGGGGGGTGTAGTTTGACTACAGTAGTGAGTAATGCACTCGCAACATCCTAAGTCACCCTTAAAGCGGAAGCAACCTGAATTTCAACTGGCAGACAGCAGCAACAAGCACGCCTTTCTTCTTTTATTCATTACTTACGTGTTTTTTTTTCACTGAGAGCGGCTACTGCGCGGTTAGCGAACGTGCATTTTAATATATTTGTGGCTGCTTCAGTGGAAATCAACGCATACATCTCGTCGCAAATGTCTAGCGGCAACTTGAAAGGTCCGCGAAGGCGGTGTGTCACTTTCTATTCGCAAAATAAATAAAAGTAAGAATACAGAAAAACACAAAAGGCAATACGTATAGCTCGTTTGCTGGAAAAACGGCATATTCGAAAAGGTTATTTCTGGAGTTAAGTTTGTAGAAATGTGGGCCGGTGCTACTTTTATATTTTGTAAAAGAATTGCTACGATATCTTTCATTAATGTCTCGTTATAAGCGAATTTGTCTATATAGTTTTACTCTCCTGCATTTTCCTTATCAACTTTGTATATAGAAAATTTTATTTTTAATTTTTGCTTTTATGGCTTTCTTCCAGCAAACGAGTTATATAGGAATGCATATGTATGTAGGAAAAAGGAATTATGTTTCGTAAAAGCATGCCACTCACCAACATTTAGTTAAACGGTGTTATCCATCCAATAATAGGGGATTATATTCAACCTTTTGCTTATGTTCTGTGAAAAGTTTCTACAAAAGTTTTCCTGCAGAGAAGAAGAGAAAAAACAATATTTAAAAGCGGCGGCTCCGTATCCTTGTTCTACTTAAGTACTATGATTATTTAATTACCAAGGTTCTAAGAAACTTCCTAGACTTTTTTCATTTATTAGATGTTTCATTTCAGTATTCAATGTGCCTATACCTTGCTCTCGAATTACGGTGCTTAATTTTTACTTTCAATAGGAAACGAAGCATATATAAAGAGTGCATGTTCGACAGTTACGTGAATCCTTTCCCATACGTTAGATGCAACTGCGCCATTACGATAGTGGTGTTATACCATTTGACAAAACTACTGCCACTAAGCTGTTTGAAAATTTTGAAAGCGATAGCATAGATACTAGTTTTCAGCGTTGATCCGGATCAACTCCTTAATTCGGAATTATTTAGGAAATTTACTGCAGTTGCTCTGGATTAAGTCCTGCAGCTAAACCTCAAAATTAATGCGGATCAGGAGAATTTCCAATGACAGCACTGGCCAAAACCGCCGTCCATTGTCTATTGCCCAAGTAAACAAACAAAGCCAGCGAGTTTGGCGTCCGCATGTGGTGAGAGCTACTTACTGCAATTCCGTACGACTCAGCTTCATGCATATAATATTAGCTCTGTTCCTGTACTTCACGATTTGCAGGTTTTACAGGATTTACAGGAAAAGCTGCTTTCACCATTAACAAACCTTATGAAAGGCGGCGATCAGGGACAGCTTCCTGTAAAACCCTGCAAATCATGAAGCACCTGGTTGCAACTAATGTGTCGGTAGTACATTTGGTACCAAATGTCCACTCTACAGCCATTAGGGCTCCAAAAGTGACGAAAATTTGGATATCCGTATGTATTCGTTACTAATCCAATCAACACCCGTTACTTTCGTATCGTTACTTTACTCGTTATTTTTGATACAAGCAAGCATTTGTAAATCACACGAATCATCACAACGAATCTCGTGGCGTAAAGAAATGTTCGTACATATGCATGTGAGAAGTAAACAAAATTTACTAAGAAAGAAAGTCGCACCATTTTTTCCAAATTTTATTTTTGAATTTTTCCACAAAATCTGAACAGTTTTTGACACGTTAGATAAGACAAGCAACAACAAAATACACATAAATGTTTTTTTACTCGAATACCTGTTTGATATGCCTTGGTACTACCTTTTAAGTAAAAATTTCTTTAACAGTTTCGAAAAATTTCAAAAGGTTAGTCATCTCAGTTAAGAAAGGTACTCATAGATCAACACATAAATTATGACTTTCAATCACTTCACTTCTCTACGTAGCTCACGAATTTCATTAAAAATGGCTACTCAATCAAGAAAAATTAAAAGGTGTTAGAGAGTTTAAAAATTCTGTGGCGAATCTTACTTGCTGCTTGTATATTCAGAAACGACAGTATCGATGCCACAGTAAACATTTTCTTATCCGGGAAACATATTAACCATTTCCTTACTAACTATCGTACAGTGCTTATTTTTTTGACACGAAATTGCTGGGAATGAGCGCCTTGTCTTAGAATAATAAATAGTATAGACTTTTAATTAATAAATTACATTTGTTGGATTGGTACACTCTTATCGTTTATGCATATTCTGCTTTTACCACTTTCTCATTACTTTCATACTATTTTTGGTTTTCATTCTCTGTACTTCTTTCAGCTATGAAATAGTTGGTCACATTATGTATCACCCACAACAACGAAACATACTATATTCACATATCTTAAAAAATGCATTATCTTCAGTATTCGCGTAATAGATTTTTACACAGTAGTCCTTATGCATATATATATTACTTTCTTCATGTGTATAACAATTGCAGAATGAATTTCGAGTGTGCCAATAAAAATTGTAAAATGGAATTTTAGTTTCTCAAATCATAGTAATTTTTTACTCAAAGTAATTTTATTTCATTTGGTGGCACACTAGTTTTATTACACTAGATTCCTTCGTTTTGGCAAGCGGAAAATTTCCACCTTTAAATTTTAACGTTTTGATGTATCTTAAATTATTAAAATTAAAAAAAAACGTATAATTTCAAAAGTTACGAAATAGCTGGGACAGATATTCGGCATGCTGACATTTTTTTAAATCTCTTGGAAAACCCTTGAAACTTCGAAGATACGTTGTATTTGTGTCAAATTTCCTTAAGGCAGTACGGAGTTCTTAACCAACTTGGTACGCTTTATACTAC